TAGCTGGAATACAATGCCAACCACACTTTTTGTGGCCACCAGACTAGCAATATGGTCACCATGCTACCAGTCACCATACTGTGGCCATAGAGATGGTGCAGCTTATATCAATGTGGATAATGCCAAGTTTCAGCTATCTAGTTTTATAAGATTTGGGCTTCATTTTCAAAATGATGAATAGGTGTGGAGAATACAGTTGAGTTCATCCAAAAATGGATAAGCATGATGGCCTAATGATTTTATTTCTTCTTTAAACGCAGTGTGACTTGAACATCTTAAAGTTACCTGCAGAGAAATTTTTTTAAAATGGGCCTGCGCCTTTTTTGCGATATAATAAGTACATGTAACTTGGTTTGGGTTTTGACTTGCTCTTTTCTCCCTTACTGGGGAGAGTAGTGGTATTTTTACATTAGTTCGGGTCTTGTCCAAGCTAGATTTCTCTATAGTGACTGGAGGACTTGTGAAATAATATCACAAATGCAACTCAGAGGGGAAAGGGATATTTAGTATGTTCCTAAAACTTGTTTTTGGCATCACTTTAGCCTCAATGTCTAACAGGACATCTTCACTGAAGATTCAGCATCGTGCCCCTTCCATTTAAAGTGTGATTGCACGCAATACACATGACCTACTCAGGGGTAGGGACGGGGAGGACAGTGATGTTCTCCATAAAAGGCAAGAAAGAGCAGGCATGACATTATTCATATTTCTATGGTAGAAAACAAAACAAAAAAAATCCCAAACTCTCAGGCTGCCTTTTTGTATACAAAACAAACAAAAATAAAATAAAGTAGTGCAACCCCATTTAAAAAAAAATCTTTTTGAGGTGTCCTTTAACATTGTGGCTTAGATGCCAGTCTCCTGTCGGGATTCTCCTGAACATTTGTATGTTGTAACCTTAAATCTAGTTTTGTAGAACTGAAAAAAATCACAAATTGTATTTAATCTGGTGTTATAAGAAAAGCAGAACAGGCAAAGAACGTTCCTTAATGCCGAGATCCAATTCCTGGAGGCAGGGAGAAGGAAACCAATGCTCTGTTGCAGAAGTGTCATGTTATAATTCTCTCAGTGCTAACCTTCTTCCTACCAGCAGACGCCTTTGTACTCTCGTGCTTGAGGAAGTCTTCATTGAGTGTGGTGGATGTTTCTTCCCTTCTTTTTGTAGGGGAAGTAAGTATGTGCTGCTGACTGATGAGAAATCTGCCCTAGTAACCCAGAAAGAAAACTCTGCCTTGTTTGAGGTAACTACATCAGAAATAGAGGGCACGCTTTACATTAAGATTCCATTTATAAAAGTATAGTACATACCGGAGTATGTGTGTCATAGGTGGCTTTATAAATGCATCACTAGAAGGTATTAGATAGTTATAAGCACCCTTTTAGACTCTAAAACAGTCTGACAATTAACCATGTATTAACACATCTAATCATTCATTAACCTTCTATAAACTATTTATAAATCAAACCTTTGTAGAAAATGTGATCAGAATAGAAAAGTGACTTCTCCTGTGAGAAAGCAAAGGTGTTTCTATTAAATATACCTCTTAAGAGCAAGTTTTTTCATCCTCTTTATATCAAAGAAGAAAGAAGTTATCAATTTGGGACAGGATGATATAGTGCTGTGACTTTTCTCCATAGACGTTAACTGGAATTTGGAAACTCTTGACTAATCTACCGGATGGAAGGAAAGCTGTCTGCTTTGAAAAATCATAATTCACTGTTAGATTTTTGCTTTAGTTAGGATTAGAATGAAATGAAATACTTGACCATGTAATAGTCAGTGACCTAAAATTAGGTCTATCCTAATGAAGAGAACAGCTGATGTCTTAACTCGGTTATTGTGGAGGATTGTTATGGTAATACCTGGGTCTAAAAGAATTGTCAAATACCATATGAACGTGTGGCAACAAATCACTTAGTAGGAGTTAGATGTATTTGTGGTAGCAAAAAAAGCATGAAAAGATTAGGGGTTTTTTATTTACTGAGGATGCATTTATGTAGTTACTAATATTTCCCGAAAGTTTGTGAAGAAGTTTTGTTACCCATTGATTACAAAGTAATGTGACAACATGGATTATACTGACATGGCAGGCAAAGTATTGAATTGATATAAATCAGAATATCCCTGTTCCTAATACAGGTTCTCTGCTTCCATAAGGAGAAAGTATGAAAACATTCCTGTAGAAAATTCAAGCTAGTTAACTGGGAAAGACTGGCAAAAGTAGTAGCTTATGGGGCCAATTCTGCAAGTTGCTAAATGCCTCCTGCGAAATTCAGAGTGGTTTCACTTCATACTGACTTTAGATCAAGCCTATGACTTCACACAAGTTTTCAAATAGATCTTCTCATGCTATGCTTTTTATTAATGGCTATTGATGGGTACTCAACCAGCTAGCAGTTGACATCTTCATTACAAATGAAAATTAAAGAAAAATGCACCACACCATAGTCCCCAAAGACTCTAAAGTTAAGCCCAATACATTGGTTAGAATTGAATTGAGCTACAAAATTTGGATCCAGATTTTTTTGAACCCACCCTTCCAGACTTCACAAGACACTCAGATCTGGGATTTTGGCATAGTCTTTATAAAGAATAGGGGTCAGTTGCAAAACTTGAATCTGAATTCAGATTCTAAATTTCCCCAAAGTTTGGGATATCCCGTTCTAAGGTTTTGGTTTAGACATGTGCACGCAAACCTTGCTGTGCTGTGGCCTACATAATAGGCAAGGTTAGTCTTGGGAGCTAGGCTAGGGGTCATGGAGAATGCACTGGATTCATCTTATCTTCCAGGCATCCTCCACCATGTTTCTTATGGAGCCCCTGCAGTGCTTTGAAACTGGTAGATCACTTTGGCAGGGGGAGGCAGCCACTTGAACTCTGATGGGGTGAATCCCCCATCAAGGTCGACTTAGTATTGTATTGTATTACTGTTATGAAATGGAATTTTCAAATTCATATAGCATTCAGACTCCTATATTTACTAGTCGTTATCAGGAATATGATACTCCTGAGGGCATTCTGTGCCAAAAAATTAAAAATTCTGTGCTCAATATTTTAAAATTCTGTAAGTTTTATTTGTCAATAAATTTAAATGCAGAGGCTCCAGCATGGCAGTGGGGAGCACAGACCACTGGCTGCCCTCTGCGCCAGACGCACCAGGTGTGGGGCAGGCAGGCTCAACCAGACAGGATCTAAGTGTGGGGGGGCTCAGTGTGGGAGATCCAGGTGTGGAGTGAGAGGATTCTGTGTGGGACAATCTGGATGCAGGCAGCATAGTGGGGAGTCTAGGTGTGGGAGGATCTGGATGCACAGAGGCTCTTGGGGGGCGGGGGGGGGCGGGAGAGGAGTCCAAATGCAGGTGCAATGGGACTCTGCAGGGGCTTCCAGGCAAAAGTGGTTGGGGCTCAGTGGAGGGGTCTGGGTGTGGGGGCTCAGAGGGGTGGGGCTCGTCAAGGTTGGGGTTTGAGTGCAGGGAGCTCAGTGGGGGGTGGTCTGGGTGCACGGGGTTGAGGGTACAGTGCGGTGGGGTTCGAATATGGAGGGCTAAGGGGGTTCTGGGTGTACGGGGTGAGGCTTGGCAGGGGTGTCTGGGTATGGGAGGTCTGGATGCATGGGAGTTGGGCACAGTGGGGAGCAGCTCCGCGTACAGTGACCCGTCCCCCCGCAGCTGAGGAGTGATGGGGGCAGGAAGCAGGGGAGGATGCTGAGCTTCCTGCAGTTGGGGGAGGTTTTGGGGGTGGGTCTGACACAGGCCCAGCCGCTCCTTGCAGGGGAAGAGGAAGTCCCAACTTCTCCTGCCTCCGGCTCAGCTGTGACTAGCAGCTGATCCCGGCTCAGGGTAAGAGCCACTGGCTGGGGTGCCCCAAACTTGCAGTGATTTACCTCTCCACCGGCTGCTCCGGGTGCCTGAAATGATGTACCTGTTGAGCTAGGGAGTGGTGCGTGACTGCTCTTTCAGCTTCTCTTTGCTTCCCTGTTAGAAAATCATTTTTCTGCAGGAAAGCAAAGAAATTTGTGGCGCAGAATTGCCCCAGCAGTAATATGGTTGGGGTCACTAACAGCTTGGAGATAAGAAATATCTTTCAGATGATGTTACATATATGAAATGGCTTGGAGTTTGAAAGCCATTTCATATCTGTGATAAATATTTAGTATTTTCACAGTTGATGTATTTAAGCTCAAGTCACCCCTAAAACATACACTTGTTTTGGTAGAGATGAACAAGAAATCGACACCTTGAAGGAAGAACTGGACAGTCTGAACTCTCTGATTACTGATCTCCAAAAGGACATTGAAGGCAGTCGGAAAAGAGAATCTGAGCTGCTTGTATTCACTGAAAAACTAACTAGTAAGAATGCACAGCTGCAGTCTGAAACCAACTTCTTACAGTCCCAGCTCGATAAGCTTACCTACAATGAAAGAGAGTTACAGAGTCAGCTGGAACATGTGAGACAGACTAAAGATGATCTGGTGAGTACGACTGCAGATGGATTTTGTACTAATAGGTTATCTGATCAGGACTGAATTAATGCAAAGGCTGGAAGGTCTGTGCCGAGGCTCCAGCTCCTGCAGTGTCATAGTGAGTGCAGAATTTCAGCTTTCGTTTAAAAAGTTAGTTTCTAGACCTTGTGGTTGCGAATAAAAGCTTGGAAATGTGATCTGAATGTAACCAAAAACTTCTGCCTGAGCCTGCAGACTCCATAGAACCATAGCTCTGATGTGTGAACTGCCCTATGTGTGTCAATGGAAGACCCCTGTTCTTGGAGAGGGACCTTGCTGCTTCTCCTGCCTTTCTAGGAGGCAAGAGTTGACTTCAGCCCTCGTCATTTAGGTAGATGAAGGATGGGGGTCTCAGCACAGAAGTAGGGCAGTGGGGGGTGGAGTCATAGCAGGGGGCCAATGTCACAGCATGCCTAGAGCCCTGGACTGCCATAATCCAGTTTTTATACCCAGCAGGATTTAATTTACATGTGAAACTGACTTCTGCAAATCCATTCATGTTTAAAGAACTTGTTTGTCATAGGGAAGACTAGAATTATTTTAGGCTCCTCCCATTGTCCAGAGGTACTCCTGTAATATTTAACAGTGTAATTTAAATAGCCCCACTTTGACTTCAATAGGAGTACTCACTTGTGTAAGCATTTGCAGGATTGCAGCTTGATTTTGTGTATCAAGTGTGCCACAACTGGAGGTCCTTTCGTAAAATGACTTTTTAAAATCAACCTGGAGCAGCCTTTGTGCTTGTATCTGCTTTCTCCCATCAATTGTAAGAATAATTTTGTGGCTATAATAAAAATTATTACTAATAGCCTCCTCATGATGATTCCATTACACTGTGTTCAGATAGGTTGTTTTCACATATATTTTGAAAAGTTACAAACTGGATTATTTTTGAAGCTTAAATCTTATTCTGTACTGTGCTAAATTCTGGAATAAGTAGTACACCCTGGTTACTGCCTTGGGCTATCCCGCACTGGTGGTATTGGGCTTAATTAATGGTTCATAAAACGTTGTGAGATTCTCAGATGAAGGGCAGGTGCAAAGCGGTGGTGATGTTGATGTTAAGCATATGGTTATGTCTAGTGACTTTAGATGTTGTTTTTTATTGTAAATTTAGGCAAACAAACTGCAAAAGGAGGAAGAGCTACGCAAACATGAAGTCCAGACCCTGCAGACAGAGTTGGCTTCTCAACAGAAAGTACAAACAGCACTGAACACCCAAGTAGATGAATTAAAAGACGAGTTAGTTACTCAAAAGCGTAAACATGTGGCAAATCTTAAAGACCTCACCAAGCAACTTCAGCAAGGTTGAAACTTTTTTCCCCCCTCAGATCTAGTCCTGTGTCCACTAGAGTAGTTGTTCTCAATCAGGTGTCCGGGGGCACCCTGGGGGACCACAAGGAGGTTTCAGGGGGTCTGCCAATCAGGGCCAGTGTTAGACTCGCTGGAGCCCAGGGCAGAAAGCCCAAGCACCACCTCATGGGTCTGGAGCCCAGGACCCCGAGTCCTGCCACCCAGAGCTGAAGACAAAGCCTGAGCAACTTAGCTTTGCAGGGCCCCCTGTGGCGTGCGACCCCCAGGCAATTGTCTTGCTTGCTACTTCCTAATGCCAGCCCTGGCTTTTATATGCAGAAAACTAGTTGTTGTTCGTATAGCATGTTGGGGTGGGAGGCTCAGAAAGAAAAAGATTGAGAACCCCTGCGCTAGAGTGTACTAACATAGTCCTCACTCCCAGCATACACTGTTAGAGAAGGATTCCTGCTTGCATCCGTATATTCTCTTAGGGTGCAATCCTTGCAGGCCTTCTTTGTATCAAATAGGAGACTTGTGGATGGAGGGCTTGCCGGATTGGGCCATTAATTGAATCTCATAAGCACTAAATTGCTTGATTAAAATGTAAAAGTACTGGAAGGGATCTACACATTCTTGGTATTCAGCTAAAAGGATATTCTATGAAGTCAAATGGCATGTGACAATTGAGACTTCATCCATGGTAACCAGATACATGTGATTCCTGATCACTACACAGAAGGCTATTCAAGATGCATCAGAAGCTTTCTAAATGCCTTCTGTAGCCAGAATTGTCGGTGGTGGCATTTGTTATTTAATTTTAAGGAAGTGCTTTATCTTTTTTTATATATATATAAAAATTAAATGCATACAGAGACTGATTATTAATTTTGTAGTTTCGGGAAGTTAACATTTATAATTCAAAAGTGCACGTGCTCTGAATTTAGAGTGCAGTTTGGCTTAATGAGGTGTTTGGAATTTATGTGAAAACATAACTGTTGTGTACTATTCATATATTGGGAGAGGAAGTTCTGTTTACCTTCTTAGACAGGTATGAACACATGTGCTCATACTTCTTCTCCCAGCACTATTCAACATCTGGGCACAGACACTGCTGTCGGTTCCCAGTAGTGATAGCAGTCACGGAATAACTGATTTCCAGAGAGCAGAGCTGTTACACGTCACTCATTAGCTATTTAAATAGCATGCCATATCAATACTAAAGCATGGCTTAAATATTAGTCTCAAGACAACCCAGCACATGGAGTTACCTCTTCACTTGAGGACTGGTCCAAAGCCCATGGACTTCAATGGGCATTAGACCAAGCACTTAGTGATGTTCATATGGTTTGTTAATCACTAGTATTCTCACATGTATGATTTGGCAATTAAAGAAAACTGTCTCAGTTCCTGGTGGATTGGGGTGGTATGTATGTGTGGGTTCCATTTCCTTAAGATTTTTTTCCCCCATTTTGGTAACCCTCCCCATATTTTCTTGTTAGCACGAAGGAAATTGGATCATATTGAAAATGGTGGCTGTGATAAAGAAGTTAGCAGTATGGGGAGTCGTTCCAGCTCATCAGGTAACATAACAAATAACAATTCTGCCTTCACTGTTCAGTTTTCAATAACTCAAACTTATTTTACTGGCATGGATTTAGGGTGTGTGTGTGTGTTTTTTTTTTTTTTTTAATAGTTATTGGTTATTTCTGTGGGTTATGTACTTCTGAACAATGTTCTTGTTAACACTTCAACAAAACTTTCTCCTGTCCTATTCCATATTCTCTTATGGAATATTGTCAGCCTTGGTGGCAGAAGTCCTGGGGTCCATTTTCGTTTGCTATCCCCCTTTTCTTTGAGTCTCGAGATACATAGACCTAATAACTGCAGTGCTTGCCCATATGAGTAATCCTTAACTGAAAGTCAATTTATGTACAACTGAGAGAAAGGAGTATCTTTCTCATGTTGCAAAGTCTGGGGAATTCATTGAGGTTCAAGAACTTAATATAGATATAGGGGTTTCAGGTTTAATAATGGCACTTGTTAATGTAGTTGAAGCCATGTGTTCTTATTACAGACAGTCTAGTTTTTTTTTTTTTTTACTCCTATCTTTTTGAACTTGCTGCTTTTAGGTTCAGAGGTACCTTAGATGACACTTTTAAATGTAGCCAAAGGCAAAACAAAAATCAGTAGTTGCCTCCATTATTGTTTAATTAATTGCACTAATTGACAATTGGCACTGTGTAAATGGTAAATCAATTGGCATATTTACAGGCATCAGTGTGCTTGTGTAAAATGTATTCCTTTATTGTTCTACCATGAAGAAAAATGATTTTTTTTTCTGCAGTATCATTGGCATTTATTTACCTGATCAATATCATATAGTTTTAAATTAGGTTAATTATATCAGAGTTGATGTATCTTTAGTCCATAAGGTTGTGTTTGAGATATGTAGCCCTTTCTTTTCCCTTCATAATCTCTCTCTACCCCATCACTTTTAAAGTTGCTTCCAGAGCTTCTCGGTACTTTTCCTGCCATCAACCTGAAAGGGGTTCGCCCTGCAGCACTCTTGTATTTAATAGTTTCACTGGTCTATACACAGTTTTTTGGTAAAGGTTTAACTATGTCCGTTTAGAACACACTACGATTAAGCTGATCCAAGTCGCTAGTGTGGGCAGAGTTATATCAGTATAAAGGTTCTTGTACAGAAATAGGCTATAGGTGGATGGAAGCACCTTTATTCCAGTAAAGCTGTGTTCACACTGAGGGGTTTACCATTGTCTGAACCTATACAGTGAAAATGGTACTGTTAGCTATGTGTAGCCACTCCATGAGTAGCTAAACGAGATCAACATTTTATTAAGAAAATATTTGGGCACAGGCTGGAGCTATTGATTTTGTGATCAGATGGAATAGTGTACTTAGCAACTGTGTATGTTCTATAAACATGTGACTGTTTGGTAGGGTCCCTTAACGCTCGAAGCAGCAACGAAGATCGCTCGCCTGAGAATACTGGATCTTCAGGAGCTGTGGATAGCTTCCCAGAAGTGGACAAGGCTGTCCTGATTGAGAGAATAGTAAGACTACAGAAGGCTCATGCTCGGAAAAATGAAAAGATGGAATTCATGGAAGATCACATTAAGCAACTGGTGGAGGAAATCAGGAAAAAACCAAGTACGTATGACATTTGGATCACTTAGTCTACTGCCCCTGCACCAGAACACTCTGACTCTTACATAACACACAAAATTAACTTGAGATAGAAAAATGTTAAAATGATAAAACAACTGCAACCACAGCAGACCTCAGATTTTTATTTTCACCTTATTTTCTGTGAACAGCTACTAGACTACGCAACATCAAATGGAAGGCCCTGGATCTGTGGCTTAGTCCCATTTGCTCCTTGAAATTGATGCCTAGTGTAATAAAATATCTGAGCCAAAGCCTGTCCATCTTTAGTATACGATATAAGATTTCTCTTCTCCATGCTGTGCAGGCTACAGGCTCTCCTGTCACTTAACCAGCAGCTAGGTTCCTTTCTAAGGTCTGCTCGTTCAGTATAGCTGGGGGTCATGGGGAGGAGGAAGTTGGAGTATACGCTCCTTTTTTGAAGGAATGTTTGCTATTAAATCTAACCATTATCACATGCACTCATCTATTATGGTGATGCCATCTCATGAGATGGTGTCTCATAAAAGAGCATAGCTTGTGAGCTCCCTGGGATAGGGACCGTCTGTAGTGCTAGTACCGTGCCTTGTAACACAGGGCCTTGATTCCTCACTGGGTTCCTTAGGCACCACTACAATAGAAATGCTCAACAAGCTGTCTCATTCAGACTGTAACAAAGCCAAACAATTAATAATACATTTGGCACTTCAAAAACATACTAAAATCAAGTAATGTGTTTGGTGTCTCATGTATAAAAACACAGGCTGTTCTGAAAAGCAGCCATGGTTTAAAAGTGACTAATTTGAAAAAAACTTTCAGAAACCTAATGCAATTTTCAAACTCTCAGTAATTCCTGCCTTTCATGTAAATTGAATCAGCACAGATTCATTCTGAGCAAGATGGACAGTGCTCACCCAATAAGCAGCTATTCAGTATTTTATTTTATTCTCTCTGTTCAGTGAGTGGCCCTACGCCTTATTTACTGCCCACTATTCAAACCCTGCTCTGAAGACACAATTGTTAATTTCCTCATGAGCTTTTCTAAGGGGCTTATCCCTACAGTAGCTGAATACTTCATAAGCGCCAGTGTATTTTTACAATATCCCTGTGAGAAGAGGGGATATTATCCCCCTTTTACAGATGGGAATTGAGGCACAGAAAGTAAGGTTGAAAGTGCCTACCGGTCTTAATGTCCAATTTGAAAAGCCAGGCCCGAGAGTTTGAGTACTTAACATTATATAGCACTTTATACATTCAAAACACAGCTACTAGTGACTTCAGTTGCAGCTATGAGTGCTCAACGTTTCTGCAAATCAACTTCAAAGGTCTCACATAGAGCATCCAGGAAATGAGGAACACACAATTAGTAACCATCCGTGAAAATTGTGATTAAATGATTTGCCCACCATCACAAAAGAACTCTGTGGCAGAGGTAGGGATAGAATCCAGTTATCCAGGATAGAATTCAGCTGCCTTACCTATGACACCATTCTTTATCTTCCTGTCATCCCTTGCCTCATTCACTGCACACCTTCCAACTTCACCAGATGAGGCAGGGGTCTCCTTAACTACACAGCTCTTATTCATCTCCAGAACACTGCTCCGTCCTGTGCACGCAATGAGGCAGGGGACTGTGGAAAAGTCTTGTGATCATGTAATTAAAAACATTATAATGCATAGGCAGAACGGGGTTGAATTAAATTTGCACAGCTTGCAACTTTTTGGGATTTGTGCTTTTGAGTCACTCAGATGCTTAGCAGAAAAATTGAAAGGTGGGATTTTGCAAACAAAACTGACAGAACCTTTTCTGGAAATACTTTGGATTCTGGTCAAACCACATAACAAGGTTCTGTCTCCAAGAACTGTTACAGTTGCAATTCACACCCTTTTATTATTTATTTGCTTTTCTCTAGCATCTGGGTGTCCCACTCATGGACCAGGACCTCATTGTTCTAGGTGCTGTACAAATACAAAAACAAAGATGGCGCCTTCCCCAAGGAGCTTAGTCCTTTGCTAAAGTTATGGCCTTCAATACTGGGGTTGTGTTTTGTCACTAAGTGTACTCTTGGGGTGAAATTCCAACCCCACTGAAGTCAGTGGGAGCTTTGTTATTGACTTCAGTGGGGTTGGGATTTCACCCTTGGTCTTTCCTTATAGGTGGACCCTGGAAATCTTTATCTTGGGTGATGTTTGCTGTTAATGTGTGAAAAAGGAGATGAATCTGTGTAGGGCAAGAAATGGCTTCAGCCATCTCCCCATCTGATTACACCCTTCTAAGTCTTGGAGTTTTGTATCCTGTTCTTGCTCTTGAGATCATGCATGTGAAGATCTATTTTGTTGTAACCCAAATATAGTATAAATACCTCCCACAAAGAATCCTGTACCATAACTCAACACCTGCAGTTTCACTCTGATTTCTCTTCTTTTCCCAGAATTATTCAGAGTTACGTTTTGCGGGAAGAAGCTGGCACGCTGTCCTCAGAAGCCTCTGACTTTAACAAAGTCCATTTGAGCAGGCGCGGTGGCATCATGGCATCCCTGTACACATCGCATCCAGCAGACAGTGGGCTCACGTTAGAACTCTCTCTGGAGATAAATAGGAAGCTACAGGCTGTGCTAGAGGATACTTTATTAAAAAATATTACACTGAAAGTGAGTACCCATGATAGCCTTTCATTCTAGGAGTCACATTTTTTTGCTCTTCTCAAATAAATACTGCCCTGAATACAACCACCAAAGAAGAGGTCTCTTTAGAGATGAAGTCACTATGGTTTGTCTTGTAATATCGATAGCACTCAGTGAGAGCAAAAATATGGTCAAGAGACACATGTTCTGATTTCTGTACAAGTTGGAAGTGTGTGTGTGTGTGTTTCTTAAAATGGGGATGATTCTACCATAGGCGCATGACTAACAGTTAGTAAGGAATGTATCTATAAGCTGCTCTCTGATTCCCTGTCTGTATCTTTGTATATTTATTAGTTTTGAACTAAAGCAGCATAAGTTTTCGGCATGCTCAGTAGACTCCTAAAATATATAAGAAAACTACTCTCCTTTAGAGCATCACATTCACTATTAATGCAGGGAGAGAAGGGTTGTGCCCCCACCTTTTCACTGCTAAGTGAGCATGCTATTTTCAGGTTGCAATCTACTCATAGTGATGGCAAGTGGTAATTTAAATTCAATATTGTATGTTGCATCTACTGATGTTTCCCTCTTGTTGCCCCTCCTCTTTTCTTCAAAGGAAAACCTGCAGACACTAGGAACAGAAATAGAACGGCTTATTAAGCACCAGCATGAATTGGAACAGAGGATGAAGAAAGTGTAACAAACTATGGAACAGTCAGAACAAAGAAACAGGTGCTGCAGACTGTCATTTTGAAGTTTCTCCTGTAAACTGAGTGTCAACCAATGGCAGGGCCTAATCCTGCAAACCTTTAACCACACCAATTGTCCTTCCGGACATGAGAGGCTCTGTAGGATCAAGTGTGAAGTTTGTTTTGCCTCAGCCATTGATGAACTTTACTATAGGCTACATTCTTAGAACTCTTCTCTGAAATTAAGGCATCCAGAGGCTTTGCAGTGTGCACTGCATGTAGAGTTCATTTCAGTGAGATTTTAATTTCTGCACTGTGCAATTAAGCAGCCTGCTAATGATAAAGCTTGTGGGGAGGGGGGGGGAACCAAATTGATTTGCTGTGGAACATATCAAGTGCTACTGAGCTTCCAGGGCTTTCAGAATCTTCTTCCCTACTCTATAAGTGTTTGATATATTTAAGTTGATCAAGCAATTAACATATGCATGGGAAAGGGGCTTTATAATTAACTTTTGTAAAAATAATTAAGGACATGATGCATATTTTACCATTGGACAAAAGCTTAATGGCTTCCCTGGAAACGTAATATGAATTGACTTTTTCGGGGGGGGGAAGAGGTGGGAAAACTAGCAAGAAATTAGAATGAGAAACTTCTGCTGTTGATACTAGGCATTTTCAGTTCTATCAGACTATCAACTCACCAAGTTTTTCATAAAATCCAGATCTCAAGACATATGAATCTGAATAACTGAACTCAGGTAGATTTTGTAAAATAAGTTTGATTTTTTCAATATAAATTAACACAATTTTTAAAGTATGTGAGTTAAGTTGTCCATTATTTATATACGTACTCCCTTATTCCAAGATATTCCAATCCATTAACCCCCCCCCCCCATTATGTTTAGTCATCTTAATTGTAAGTATAGTAAAACCAGCTAGTAAAACTGACCATAAGGTATATTTAAATGGTGAATTGCAATTTATTGGTGGAACTGTAGAAGCTGTACAAAAATCAGACTCAACTTTACTAATATGAATTAAAGTCTGTCAAAATGATGTAATGGTGACCATAATTTAAAATTTCAGTTAATATCCCCACTCTTCATTCACAAAGTGATGGGGGAATAACAAGAATGGTGTCGCCTTGAGGCTGAGTCATAATATTTTCTAGAGTTTAATACTAGAAAAAGATAACTCAGATGGACTGGAATGGTTCCACTCCTACAGTAAATGTGTATTTTATGAAATTAGTACCCATGTAACTAAAATGCCCAAGTCAGACCAGTTCATCTTGTAAATATATGTTTAGGGTTTATACTGTATTTATTAAATATTTGCACTTCCTATTCTCATGAAAAGTATTTAGTGCACATGTACAAACACTCCACAATTTAACATTAGCCATTTTAATTCAAAAGGCCACTTATTTAAAACCTTATTGCAGTGTTGTCCATTAATCTTTTAAATGTTTCTCATACGACTCACCTCCTACCCACTTGATTCATGTGCAAACTGAGCTCTGATCTGCAAACACAGGGTAAAAGTTACCAAGGGATCTAAGTTACGTAGGTGCCTACATATTGTCAAAAGCCCCTAAGTCACTTTAGCTCCTCTGAAAGTTTTACCCATGAGTGCTTAACTTGATCTAGGAGAATAATTCTGATTGTCAGGGAGATTTATTCCTGCATGTAAAGTTAAGCAAGGTGTGTAAGTGGATGTAGGATCACGGCCTGGTCTGCTTAGAGTTCCTTATGAGGCCTGAATAACTCATCTTTTACTTTTTTTTTTTTTTTAATTGAGCATTTATTTGGAAGAAGGTAAAAGGTATTGATTTAAAACTTGGAGGAGAGTTGGGGAAAATGTGCCCCAACTGTGGCTCAACCTTATTACAGTTTCTTTTTTAAATACTTTTTTCCCCCCCAAGACCTAAGAACAAATGAGGCCAGTCCTGCAACCTTGTGATGAAAGCTTAGCCAGTCTGGTTCAGGATTACCTCGCCTTCATTCCTAGGAGGGGAAGTGGGTAGGAAACTTTGTTAACCTCTTAAGGAGAAAATCCTAGTTCCATTGATTTCAATGGGAGTTGTGCCAGTGGGTGAAATTCTGGCCCCTCTTGAAGTCAGAGTGGACTAGTAAGTTTGTCTGACTGAATTAGACCCCAAAGTGTTCAGGAACAAAGGTCACATTTTCCAAATAACAGAACTTAGTTTTCATACCTACGTGTACCAGATCCATTTTCATGCTTTCACAAAAAATACAAGAAACTGAATGTTTCCACTATTTAGAATCTGAAACCAAGCTTACTCCAGCAAATAGAGAAATGGTATTTAATATTAATGTAACCTTTTAATGTGGTGTTCTGCAGCTGTTTAATGTGAACGTAGTAAAGAAATGTGATGCAGATGGGATAAGTGCAATGATATTGTGAAAATTCTTATTGCTTTATGGCATTGTGTCATTCCAGCTCTTAAATGATTTTAGAGCACCCAGTTATCCTTTTGTCTTGCTGAAAAGTGCTGCTTCCTCTCTGTTAAGCACTACACCAGGGGTCGGCAACGTTTGGCACGCAGCTCGCCAGGG